GTTTTTAGTAATACTATATAAATAATAAAATTATTACTATTTATATACTTTTTTACTTATTACGCTTTTTATAGCTACTTAATAGAGGTTATTTTACTTTTTTTTAAAAAAGTGTATAAGTGCTAAGCTAAAAACTTTCTATATAACTAAATTACTTATATTATAAAAATAAAGTTTTTACTATACTTTAAAGTAGCTTATAATGCTATAATTACTTTTAGTAATATTTAAAAAAAAGTTTTAAAGTGCTAGATTAGTTTTTTTTAACTTATAATAAGTTATAATAAGCTTTAATATAAAGTTATGCACTTTATTACTACTACTACTTATATATAATAAACTCTAGTAGTTATAAACTTTAAGTAATACTTTAAAACTTAAAGTATAATTAATACTTATAAAAATAAATTTTTTAAAGTATATAAATAGTTTACTAACTTTTTGTTACAATCCTTGCTTTAGAAAGCACTTAGGTTAATGTTGTTCCTAGGGAGGTAGGACAGAGGCTAGGGGCCGAGTGTACAGTCCTACGTAAGGGCTAATAGGCTAATAGAGTAAGAGAGGGCGACTAGATTATAGTTTGTCCCTGCGGCAGCAGTATAGTAGCTAGGTTAGACAGTCCTGTTAGATAGAATTAGAGGTATATATGTTATAAGATATATAAATAGTATTATTGCTTTTTAGAAAGCTAGAATGCTACTTAGTCTATATAAAAAATAAACTAAACATTAAACACACTTTCTAAAAGTTATTTAAAGTTAGAACTATATACATGTCTAATAGTGCTAAGAACATATTAATTAAGTTAAATAAGTTTGTCTAGCGTAGCTTATCTAACTTATTTAACTTGTTTCTATTCTTTAGCTAGTCTTCTTACTAGACAGTGCATTCTTTTATAATCCTAGGCAGCTGCGCTGCCTTTGTGTCTTCTAATTAGTCTATAAACAAGCTTTGCTCTAACTTAGCTAGATTATAGAGCACTTTAGGTAGAGTTATGTTAGTCTAACTATAGACTATAACATGCTGCCTTTTCTTTCTAGCTGCCTTTTCTTTCTAGCAGTGTTCTTACTGCTCTGCTTATATAACTATGTTAGTAAAAGTTTATTTATAAAGTAAGTGCCTACTTACTAGAAAGCGTTTTTAATGTCTCTTTTTTTTATACTAAATAGCTTACTAGTTCCATTTATTTTATTATTTTTACACTGCTTATTATTTTAATCCTTTTTACTAGATAAAAATAAGGCTCTATAACACTTACTAGTTATTAAAGTTGTTTTACATATTAACTTTATTTTTAAATAAGTGCGTAGAATGTGTAAAAAAAAAAATTAGTGCAACACTTTTATTTCTAACACTGCCTAGAATTATTTAAAAAAAAAGAGAAAAAAGCTTCTTTATGTTACTAAGGTAGTAAAGGTTTATAAGTAGAAGCTTATAAAAAAGCTAGTGCATTTATTAAAAAAGAAAGTAAAAGTAATAAAAAAAAAGTATTTTAAATAAGATTATATCTAAAAGTTACTAGACCTGCTAAAGACTTATTATGTAAGATATCTAACTAAAAACTTTTCTTTTTTAGATAAAATAGCAGCTTTTAAGGTAAAAGTAAAGAGTTAATTACTTTTTTAACTTCTTTCTACTAGCACTTGTCTCTAAAGGCTGCTACTATCTAATAATAATATAGCTATTCCTTTTAAAATAAGTGCCTTATTACCTAGCTAGTTTTATTTAGACAAGTCTAAAGGTACTTCTATACTAACTACTGCGCATTCTATAGGTTCTTAGCTAGCTTTTAAGTGTTTTTACTAGTAAGCTATTATATCTATTTTATAGAAAAAAATGTTTTTTTTTTAGTTATTAATAATTTATTTTACTTTATATTTTATTTCTATTTATTTTTATTTTTATATTAATAAAAGGATTTCCTTAAATGCTTTTTCTAATTTTAAGATGTAAAACTATAAGTGTATTTTTATGTGTAAAAAAAGCTTTAGCTTATAGTTGTTTTATTAAGTTTAAAAAACTTTATAAAGTTTTATCTTTTTTTCTACTAGCTTCCTAGAAAGTTAGAGTATTTTAAGGTTTTTAGTTTTAAAGTATCTATAGTCTTTAAAATAAATTTCTAGTCTATATTTTTATATTTAGTTTATGTATTATTTTATTATCTTCTAACTAGATTTAGCTTTAACTGCTAATTTTTAATATATGTTCTTTAGATTTAACAAACAGTTAATTAATTCTAGTAGATTTATAAGCTAATTTCTATAAAGTGTAAAATAAAGGTAGTAACTAAAATTAGCTTTAAATAGGGTTTTTTTTATTATAGCAGATTCTACTGTATTAATTATAAGCTATGCTATTAAAAGCTATTGTACCTAGTTATTCTAACTATAGAATACATATTATCTTAGGTATTTTTCTACTTTAGCATTTATTTATTTAGTTTGTCTGTCTGTCTGTAGGTAATATGCTATAGATAGTTTATATGTTATTCTAAGGTGTCTTATAGCTGCTTTTTAGAACTTACTAGTAAATAGCTTATTCTTATTAAAGATAATCATCTAGAGATATTTATATACTAAAACTATATTTTATTTAAGTTTATATATAAAATTCTTAGCTGTTATAGTCTTTTTTAATAGCTATATATATAGGAACTTTGTAGTTTTATTAAAAGCTACTCTTATTATATTATACATTTAGTCTATACTAGGTTTCTTTAACAAAGAAAGGCTAGTTATAAAGTTTATAGTAACTATTATTTATAGTTGCTTTAAAGCTTTAATTAGTTAAAGGTATTTATATATCTTATGCCTTTAGAGGTTATTCTTATTACGCGTGTTACATTTCTTAAGTACCTCTATGCATAGTTGCTTTATTTTAGGTATTAGTTAAAGTATAGCAGCTTTTAGCTTCTTTTAAAGAGTGCTAATTCTAAAGTGTCTAAACATTAGAAATTTATAGTATTTATAAATTAAGTTCTTTTATTCTTACATAGTTACTATAAGCGTACAGAATTCTTTAATAGGCCTAGGTTTGTTATATACTAATCTTTTTTTTATTTTTTTAAAAAGGATAAACTTTTTAGTTTCTTTTTCTTATCTGTTAAAATAGTTAGGTCTCTAGCTAAGCGCATTAGCTTACTAGTTTTATGCTTTAAAAATATGCTTAATAATAACGTACTTCATGGGCGAGTTGCTCACACACCCGAGTCGCTCACTTTTGCTAAGACCCCACCAAACCACCCTTCCTACACTAATGCATTCCCCACAACACCACTTAGACGCGCTAAAAGAACGTTAGATACAGCTTGCGCTCTAAGCTTTTAAATAAGACATAAAACTCTTAAAGAAATGTGCTATAGCTATGTGCAAAGTCCTGTAAAAGACAATAAATAACTATAGCGCTAGACAACCTTTACAAGCTAATTCTACAGCTAAATTATAGAGGCTAGGTAATAAAAAGGAGCAGGTGATTGTTAAGACTATACTTAAGCAATATGCGCAAGGAATTTCCCCTTAGATAGCATTTATAGCTAATATAGCTAATTCTTTGCGCGCTAAGCGTAATCTAGGCTATGTTCGCATAAACTAGCCTAGTACGTTTGTGAAGCGTTATTTAGAGCTTAAAGTAACATTTAAGCGTAAGTACAACTATAAGAGAGCCCTCTACAAGAGTCTTAGGGTAATTTAGGGCAGGTTTAGCCTTGTGGAGAATATTAAAGCTAAGTATAGCATCTAGAATAATAACACGTACAACTTTAACAAGACAGGGTTTATAATTAGCTAGATATCTCTTAACTATACTTGCGCTTAAAACTTTACTTTAAGCTCTAAATAACGCTTCACAAACGTACTAGGCTAGTTTATGCAAACATAGCCTAGATTACGCTTAGCGCGCAAAGAATTAGCTATATTAGCCACAAATGCTATCTAAGGGGAAATTCCTTGCGCATATAGCTTAAGTATAGTCTTAATAATTACCTGCTTCTTTTTATTGCCTAGCCTCTGTAATTTAGCTATAGAATTAGCTTATAAAGGTTGTCTAGCGCTATAGTTATTTGTTATCTTTTACAGGACCCTATACATAGCTATAGCACATTTCTTTAAGAGTTTTATGTCTTATTTAAAAGCTTAGAGTGTAAGCTGTATCTAACGTTCTTTTAGCGCGTCTAAGTGGTGTTGTGGGGAATGCATTAGTGTAGGAAGGGTAGTTTAGTAGGGTCTTGGCAAAAGTAAGCGACTCAGGTGTGTGAGCAACTCGCCCATGAAGTACGTTATAGTTAAACTAGGTAAGCTCTATTACTTATTATATGTGTATTAGCAAAAGTTTCTTTATTATTAGAAATATAACTAGATTTGTATAGTCTATTATAATATTAAAACGTTTTCCTATTCTGTGTAGCTCTGTTGCCTAGACTTGTACTGTGTTTAATATTACTTTTAGTTCTTTATTAAGTATGCTGTAGTCTACTTTAGATCCTAAAAACTTTACTAAATAGTATACTACTAGATGCTATTTTTTATCTTCTTATTTCTAATAGAAGGCTGCGCTGCTTGCTTTTAAGAACGCATTTATATAGATCTTTATATCTAGCCTTAGATTATACATTTATAGTACTAGTTTAATAGTTACAGCTTACTTTAATGCTTTAAAGGCGTTATTTATTTATAAAGTTTAGATAAATTTGATAATTACGTGTTTCTTTATAGTAGCATTAGTTAAGAGTATAGTAATTTTTAAGTAGTTTTTAATTATTTATTTAACATATCTAGACAGTTCTAGGAATCCTTTAACTTTTTTAACTGTTGTAGGCTCTAGCTACTCTAAGACTTTCTTCTAGACTTAAACCTAGGGGCTTGCTTATAGTGCTGTAGCACAGCGTAACTTTACTACCCTAAAGTGGTAACTCTTGTTAAGCATTGCCTTATTGTAGAGAAAGGGCATTACAACGCCTGCGCTACACTTAAGCTAGAGGTACTTTTGCATAACATTAGTTTAGAATGGCCTGTGCCAATACCCACGATTCGCGTCGCCATAGGCTGATAGGATCTAGGAGAGCAGGGCGAAGTTGCCTAGCTGCTGCAATGGCCACCTAACACCACCACATAAAGGGGCTTGCTCTAAGTAGAAGTGACAATTACCTCCTGCCGCGACTTCCTAGACCTATTACGACTATGCATCGTCAACGCTCTAGCAATAGGCAGAGTGCCTTTGTTGCAGGGAGGCATTAATTTAATAACCTTAGGCTTGTATCTAACATAGACTTAAATCCTAAGTCTAACATCTAAGCTTGCCTCATAGCTGCGTTTTGTCCCGTGCAGCAACGGAGCTCCTAATGGATGTAAACGGCATGGTCCTTAGCTAGATATCGCATGACCTTGCCTGCTGTGACGCTACCACCCAGATGCAGGACTGCTAGAACCCTGGCTGTTGCGCATAAACAAGGCGTTGTCCAAGGTTGACAGCGCTGCCTCCTTCATGCTGGGATGGGCAAGGTGTATCAATTATCTGAAGCCAAACAACTCAGTCCCAACAGGATCGCTCAAGATGCTCCAAGTCATTGAAACTTAGGTCATCTCCCTGCGGTACCATGATAATAAATAACACAGGTAGAGTTAAAGTCAGGTTGCGCCCAATCGTGAGTCCAACCCACAAGCGAACATGCAGCTTTATACCTGTGACATAACTAAGCCACTAAAAATACTTTATGAATTGATGTGCGGTAGTGACAGATTTTGTTATTCGACAATATTCCTTCGTTAGTGATTCAAATTAAAAGCCATGGATACTCACACAGACCTCTAGATCCAATGAACAAGCCTAGTTCCATCCCATAAAAAGCACTAATACTGCACAGCTTGTCGTCATCAGTCAAGTCGCGACAATAGGATCTAGTGTGATCAGCCAAGTCTAGAGTGCTGCAGATACATTAGCAACTGCACTTCCGGGTGAATTTAAGGCACTAATACTATAAAATTATTTAATACATGACAATAGCGCAACACAACCCTCCTACACTTAGTCCGCTTACCTTGCCTTCCTCAACTTGAATCCAAGGGAGTAGATGTTCAGCTTTAGATTTAAAGATATATAGAACTATTCTAGCCACAAGGAATAAGATGCAACAGATTAGTCTAAATAGCAAAAGAATTCTAACTCTTAGAATTCTAAACCGGAGAAAAATAGCCCTAACGCAGAGAAACCTACTAAATATTAAACACATTAAAAGAGTAGCTATAATAAAGGCTAAGACTTTGCTAATTATTAAAGCGTCTTAGATATTTAGTGTTATAACTTTAGTTAAAGCATTATTAAAAGGCTAAATGTTGTTAAGATTAATTTAAAGTACTATTTTAACCTCTACTAGTATAAATTTTAAGATGTTAAGAAGAAGGCTATAGTATATTACGTTATAAGCGAGTCTAACACAGAATTCTTTTATGCTAATTAAGCACTAGTCACACTAATGTTCCTACACTCTCAGCAATGCCAGCCTTCAAAGGCCCAGGATTTGAGCAAAACATTGCTATGTACAGTGCCGTGACAGAATCCCAGACGGTTGCGTTGTATGCCCGATCGCATGTGTCGTGGAACATGAACGTCGCCCAGTGAATGCCACCAGCCGAATTACCGAACCCGTCTCTTTTCTAGCCTTCAAAATGTGTTATTATCCAATCAATCGCCATCGCTATATCCACGCCTCTGGATGGGAACTTGGCCTCGTGCGCATATGCGAGCCTGTAGTTCGCAATAAAGTACTCTCACTGTCCCGTCATGGGTTGCGGTTGTGTCCAGCAAAATTTCTCAAGAACCCATTTGCCAGCAGTAAACAAGCGGTAAGCATCCTCTCGCGAATAACTCAAATTTCTAACAACAAAATCGTTCGCCCCTATCGGCGGTCACAGAGCGTGCCCGGATTGTGCGCAACATCACTCTATACCTTGGCGTGTCCTCTAGTATATAGCCTCACCCCGTAGGATAGGATCGCGTTAGCGACTTGTCTCTCTTAAAATCAACCCCGGTTGTCCTCTCTCATACGATCTCTCTCTGCCGTCCTCTTATTGAACCTACCCTGCACAATCCCAAACCTTAAATACTACGACTCATATAATGGTCGCCTGGCAATTATTGTGACACAAGTGCGGGGTTGCTGGTCGCGATGTGAGTTCTCACTTTTTGCATCTATTGTTACCACAGAAACCTGAGGCTATGAGATCACCCCGCAGAGCAGCTTGAAAACTTTTCAGCGACAGTCGTCAATGCATCCTTCCTACATGCCACACCCTAGTGGCGCTTCTATGGCTAGAATTCAGAAACTCCGAGGCGTCATCTACCAACATCTTTTTTGACTCTTTGTTAAGCACCACAGTGGATATATCTCTTTTACTCCTAGACTTCGATGGTTTCCATTCGTCTTTTTGGTGCTCAAAGACACAGGTTTTGTTCTCAACCATCCCCAAATAATGCTTGCGGCATTCATCTAGGAGCTCCCTCAGAACACTTGGATTCCGCCCAAAGTATGATATAGAGACTTCATCCCGAGTATGGCCGAGCTCTCCGTGACTTCGGTGGCGTTTGAATACGAATAGACGGTGTCTATGCCAGAAGTAAAAGCGACCATTCCAAGGGGAGTAGTGTAGTGGCTTCTTGTTGGCATTCCCAGGCTTAGATGATTTGAGATCGACTGTAGCGAGGGAAGTGCGCGCCGATCGCGCAAATGGCTGAGAACGCACCCAGGAAATGAGCATATCGTATGCTTCATTGTAATAGGACACTTCAATTGTTGAAGCTACAGATCGTCGATAACACAGGCTCTCTGAGGATGGGTTTACTGACTAAAATAAGTTTCTAGCAACTGCCCCAAGTATTCTGAGGCATATTTTACAATCAACAGGAGCAAACCACAGATACACAACAGGCGGCCGATGCTCGGTGCGCTAGTAAGAAGCGGCCAGACAGAGGAAAGCACAGGCGCAAGGCCGGGGAGGAAGAAGTCCAGAAGGGGGATATGGTCGAGCGTAGTGGACATATGTAAAGCTTTGACAAGGTAGTGATAATTATGGTGAAAGTACGACACAAGCGATTGATAGCCTTTCCCGAGGAAGGCCTGCCCGTTCTTATACTTGTCGACGCATCCAACTGTGCCGCATGTTCTCGCTGAAAAACCCCTCCACCTTCATTCATCAAAGCGGCTGCCGGATCATGCACAATGATAACAATTGCGCCATTTTGGAACCCCTAGATTGAGTTGATGCGCGGCAACTATAGGGTTCGATGGTGAGGTAGACAATCCTCAGTTCACTTCACCGAAAACATACTTCCGAACAGCCTCCGATCACATCAGCGGAGAAGTAGGTACGCCTAGACTCAGTACTCACCGTACGAAGGGCGTCCGGATGTTGCTTCATGCGAGCATAGACCCCTCGATACTGCTCGATGGTTTCGTTCACGACCCGAGCCTTTGTCGTTTGTCCATTGCATATGGCGTTCATCTTTAGCTCCATCTGCGCCTGTCATTAGCAGCCCGTGATAGAGATTGATCAAGGACGTTATCTTACCTCCTTGCGTAAAAAAGGCTTCGTTAAATTAGTCTCGAACCCCATATTCTCGTGGCCTTCAACCAAAGCGGCCCCTAGCGTCGTGGGTATGAATTCCCGAACACCTGTTATAGCGCCACCGCCACTAGCACCGCTATTCCTGCCGCCACGACGACGGGCTCCTGCATTTCTACCTCTGTGACTATTTCCGGCTCTTGCTTGGGCTGGCAACTCCTCGGACTCTTCGTCATTTCCATGCCACGCCTGCCTTGGCTGAGCTCTGGCTTGGACATATTGTCGGTCTGTAATTGTGACAATATGGTCGGCCATCGTGGCATCAGTGCCGATACCATTTTCGTTCATAATTGCGAGTAGGTCCGGTTCGGTTAGATATTCAGGTGGTGACGTCTTACCTTCACAAAGAAGAGCTTCGGTCGGCTCGAAGACCTCGCCTTCGATGAACGGGGGAAGTTCTTGGTTGCTCCACCGATCGTAAATATAGACATCGAGATAGTTGCGCTCTAATATTATAAGGCCAGATGTATTAAATGTTTCTAGTCCATAGAGAATGCTAAGGTCCGTCTTTGACCCCTGGGCGTCTTTGCTGCAGCATGCCAGAAAGCGCCGGACGACGAACTCATAGACACGCTGCTCTTCATATGAGAGCATAGTTGGATTGACGAAATTGACCGGGTGGATAGGCGGGTGTGCTTTATCATTATTACGTCCGTTACGGGGCCACGAAAAGCCTCCTTCGACCAGCGCAGTTGCATAATCAGCCCAGGGACCGCCTTGCGCCTGCTTCTGGATGAGGCCGCGAAGGTCCATACCCTGATCAAACTGATCTGTCTCAGTTCGAGGATAGCTAATCCAACCTTTTTGATATAGCTTTTCTGCAAGCTGTAGAACCTTTTGACTGTCTATACCGAAGAACTTGCTACCGCACTTTTGAAGCTCTAGAGTGGTTAATGGTAAGGGTTTCCACTTGCTCGTTAGCGTGGTTTTGACCTTTTGGACCTGAGCATTCCGCGAAGTAAGGCACCGCTCATAAAGAATAACGGCTGTCATTCTATCGAAGAGGTGTTTACGAGCCCAACTAAAGTTCACCCTTATTCCAGCCTCTTGATGCATTAGTTTGATGCTCCAGAATGGTTCCGGGATAAAATTCTGAGCGCGCCAGTAGCGTTCGACGATGAAGCCAAGCGTAGGAAACTGACAGCTCCCGTAGCTAATAAATTGGGAGGCTTCTAAGCGATTGCCTAGCTGGAGTACAGGACGAAGACTTAGAGTGAGGTGCCGGGTGAAGCTTGCGCCCACACGAAGATCGAGCTCGATACGAGAAGCTATTGCGTTGGCTTGCGCTTCGTTGAGATCGGCGGGATGATGTGCAGCGTGAATAATATGCGCTCTTTCGATGTGAGAGAAATGTGCTCTTACTGTGCCGCCAGCGCGCCCTAGAGCCTGGTTGCTTTGTGCTGCCACCGATCTAATCTCGGTGCCTATATGCTCACCTTCGCGGTCGCAGTCGGTCCAGATATAGAGCACATCAGCCCGGCGAGCGTGTCGCTTGATGTTGTCCGCAATAGGTTTATTTTTGCTATTAATGAAAACCTCGATGTGAGCGTTAAAAAGCGCAGATGGGTCGCATGAAGTCCAGCTCTTGTATCGTGGCTCAAACTCGTGACTGAGGAGGTGGCCTAGCACAGAGGTCACAGTGACACTGCAACGGCCCCATTGCGGAAACGTGTAGTTGAATTCGTAGTTCTTTACATATGTAGTGCCTTGGATGTTATGCTGCACGTCCATTAGCTCGACTGGCGGATTGCGCGCATTTGTCCTCACCGTAGTCACTTGATCTCCCAAGTGGTTTGCAATTGCTTTCGCAATCGATGGCTTCTCCGCAACGCATAACACCGTTCGCACCCCCATAGTGAATCGTGTGTTTCGCGTTGACACAAACCGGAAAGGCAATGTGTATACGACGTTGGTAGGTCTGTACCCGTTTCGGACAGGCGTCGTAAGTAGCTGATGCGAAAATCGTGACCTGCTTGGCGTTTGCCAAGTAAGCGTCATCCTAACTTGTATTAGGCATCCAACTTTTACTCGCTGCATTCAATAGACGCGTCACCTCCGCCGCATTTCAACCAGCTCTCAACACCGGCATTGTCGCCTATATTGACGCTTTTTTTAGTACTTAGAATCGCCTATCATGGCCAAACGCTCGCGAGCTCCCACTTCTAGCGCTGCCGCCAAACGCAAGTGCCCATCTAATGTTTCATCTCATCCATCATAGCGTCCATCATTGTTCCGTGATGCCCCGGCTGCTGCAAACTGGGCCTCCGAGTCGTCTATACAAATATTTGAGTCGCAATTCTGGGAATCGTAAGTAGAGGAGGCAATCGTCGCGTCGCCGGGACGGTGGCTACAAGCACTGCCAATGCAGCTGGAGATGGCGATGGCGATGGCGATGGCGATGGCGATGAGCAACTTGAGAGCTTCGCTGACGACTTTGAGGGCATCGATTGGGCGCGTTTACGAACGTTTATGAAGCCTCCCATCTTTTTCGGTCTTGGCTTAAGCCAAGCGCATATACATACCAGTTGCGAGAGTATGGAATATGCGACTACTTTGCAGAGCAGTAATATGCACGAAAGTACAGCTACCACAGCGTTGGGATATAACACGAGCAATACACGTTCCTGGACCGCAATCTTGAACAGCTGGACTATGATGCCAAGCATAAGACCCAGTCCTCCGATCACAACACCATCCACAGCTAGGACAAGCTCAAGCACAGTCATGCCTGCTCCCCTTCCTGAAACCTCAGTGGAGGCGATCATTGATATTCATATTGGTAACCTCTCCGGGACTGCTACTATTGATCTCACTAATGCCAATGCTACCCCCACGTCACTCATACTAGAGAGCCAGTCGATGTCGATGCTTCCAACATCAATGGCGAGCTTTTCTGACCCTAGACCTACGCCTTGTTTCGGATCTTTAGAGTGTAATACAACCAAAGCAGTGTCTCAGCTTGCAAACGCTTCTTTCAACCTAGCGTGGTTTTCAATTTTAATATGTGCCAATTAGATTAATCAATATTGTTACTAATTAATATTAGCGCGTATTAGCAAATATTAGCAGATCTATAATATTTGCACGGATGTTCTTAGCACCCTATAAAATTTTTTTTAGATTTTTAAATTTCTAACGTACTTTATAGGCGAGTTGCTTACACACCTAAGTTGCTTACTTTTGCTAAGACCCTACTACACTACTCTTTCTACACTAATGCATTCCTAACAACACTACTTAAACATGTTAAAGGAATGTTAGATGTAGCTTACACTTTAAGCTTTTAAATAAGACATAACACTTTTTAACTAACGTGCTGCAGCTATCTACAAGGTCTTTTAAAAGATAATAAGTAACTAACGCGCTAGACAACCTTTCTAAGCTAATTATATAGCTAACTTATAAAAGCTAGATAATAACAAGAAGCAGGTAATTATTTAGCATATACTTAAGCTAGATGTGTAAGGATTTCCCCCCTAGCTAGTAGCTGTAGCTAATATAG